GATAGAGCAACAAGAACTATGGCAAAATCTAAAACCAATGATGCTTTAGGAGCCTTCAGCCAAGATGTGTAGTGATTACTTACTGTGTGTTACCTTGAACTTGTCAAGAAAATTTTGTTTTTCTCTCAGACCACCACGTTGAACGAAGAATCCAGAAAAGGCAAACATTCTTCATTAACTTAAATAAACGAGGCTGGCGATTAACAATAGCAAAACTATATCAAAACATCCGTTTTCAAACTCTTACACAACTGCTGCAGTATAATCCAAGCCACATTTATCCAGTCGTATGCTCAGCACTTTCCAAACACATGCATTTTTACTAAAGCTCTATGATTTAAAACATATCAATACAAAAAGTATCATGTCACAGCCAAGTAGCGTGCTTGGGCACACACATGCACATGAGCTCAGGGCGCAAATCGTAGGTGGAAGTGTTGTAACATTTTAGCGGAAATGTTTGGGAAGAGCTGAACTACTGAGCTACTAATGAAAATAACACAGTTTATGGTTTCAGCAGTGCAAACATGAAATACACAAAAGCATTTTGGACCTTTCTATTCTTAGTAGGATAATGATTGATTCTGCAGATAGACAAACTTGAGCTTTATTAGAGCCAAGATGGTGATTTTCTCACAGAGACTCCGTCATCTGAAACCTAAAGACAGGAAATCCTCTCTCTCTCTCTCTCTTTGTCGTTATCTGTTCTCACTTTAAATCTTTTTGTCTCTACTGTCCTCCTTATTTTGACTGTTTCTTCTTCACTCCATCTTATTTTTTTTTACCCTGTCTCTCATCACCTCTGTTTCTCTGCCACTTTATCTGAAATTATCTTTTTTGGCTTTACATATGGAAGAGAAACAATATTGCTGAATAACAAATATTTAAAGATATGTGAAAGCAAGTACATCATAGTGATAGTAAAGTGAAAATCAAAACACAGTGAGAGTTCACGGTCAACAAATCAAACTACTGTCAGACAAAAAACAACAACTACAAAATGAAAATAAAAAAAAGTACCATACAGTGGTAAATGTGTCCAACAACAAAAGAAGGAGAAATTAGACAAATTAAGAGTCAAACAGCAAGTTTTGGAAGGGACAAAAAAGACAGGAACAAAAACTGAAATCAAATCCTGGAATAAAAAAAGACACATCCTCATCTGTACGTCCGTTCCCACAGAGGGAAGGTGAAAGGGCTGTTTAATGACTCATGTGCCCGCCTGTTATTACTGATAGCAGCCTGAATAAAGTACAGACATCACCAGGACACAGAACTGGAGAGCACAGAAATATCTCATAGCATGTCTTCTTAATCTTCTTTGGCATCCTCGGATGATGAAATTCTGTAACTCACCAACATTCTGGAGATATATAAAGACTCAAATATAGTAACAGTTATTGGATATGATGTGAGGAGCTTTCCCATGCTAACTTTTGGATACTTGTGCACCAAAAAGGCTTTGTAGTTGAGTCATGACAGACTGTACAAGTCTCCATCTGACCACATTTAGTAGCAACATGTGTCACCATTAACCGAGAAACATCCTTAACCCTTAGCCTCAGTTTAATAACTCAGGACCATGGACTGAATAAAGTAATGAATGTAGCAACAGTGACGCCACTCACCGGTTAGTGAACTGCTCTTTTGAAGCTTCAAGTTTGGCATTTCGGCTTTTGCCATCTTGTTTTTTTGGAGCCAGAAGTGACCATATTTGGATGAGAAGGTGACGCTGTGGAGGAGTAAGTGTTGGATCTGACTCATAGACTACCGACGCCTCTCAGGCAGCCTGTTGTTCAGAGCGAGCACACACTCAAATATGCGCAACTTTAAGCCTTAATAAAATGTAAATGGAGAAGTTGTAGAATATTTTTAATTAGCTATAGAGGCCAAAAGCGTAAATATGTTTATTTCAGCTGTAGAGTTGGGCATTTTAACATCGGGGTCTTTAAGGATTGACTCACTCTTGGAGCCAGCCTCAAGTGGCCCTTCGAGAAACTCCAGTTTGTGGTACTTCCACATTGGCTTAATTTTGCAGCCCTGGTGGATGCCATTTGCTCTTGACCCAAATCCAGCTATCAAATTATAACTCATATTGTTGTCACACCAAACTTTAAACCTGTAACAACAAAAATGATTGAATCATGTAAGTGTTTAGAAGATAGCACTACTAGATGGATGGATGTAGATCGAAAAGAAACGACATGAAGGACGTTATGGCCCTAATATACATGGACTGTAAAGTAATGGATGTGGCCACCGTGACGTCATCCATTTGTTTGTAGACTCCCATTTTGAAACTTAGAATAAAGCATTTCGGCCGTTGCCATCTTGGTTTTTTGGAGACAGACCATATATGGGTGTGAGGCTGGCACTGTTGAGGAGCGAGGGGTGGATCAGACTGAATGCGGAGGGCACAATCTGCAGAGAGCCTGTCACTCAATGCGGCCCTCAGTTATGGGTAATTTTAAGCTCAAGTGAGTTATATACAAATTCACCCTCCATGCAGTTGTCATTAACAGGGAAATTAGCTATAGAGACCAAAGATTTTTTTTCTACTGTAAAGTTGGGCATTTTAACATGGGGATTGACTGGCTTCCAGAGCCCTGGAGGTTACTGCTTACTGATATACTCCAAATGGATGGTTTAATTGCCACCTGGGACCTTTGTCATATTGCCTGCCACTTTCTTGTACCTGGCTATCAAATAAAGGCAAGAATGCCAAAAAAAATATTTAAAAAAAAAACTAGGGCTCTACCTTACTCAGAATTATGCAAGTCAAATCAGATTTGGCCGTTTATTATGCATATTTGACTATTAGTTTATTTCTTCTTCTTTTTTTTTTCATAAAGTTTGAAAGTGTTACAGGCTCTGTCAGACGTACGGTGTTAAAGCAGCATTCACGTAATGTAGTAAACAAGCTATCTGTGCTAGCAATGGGTCACAAATGTGCAATAACATTTTTTGCTGAAACTAGATATCAAACAAAAGCCAGAGAATGTGTCATATGAAGTTGCAGTGAGCTGTAAATTCACCACTTCCAAGCAAAAGACTGAAGATAATGTTGTCTCAGAGCCTTACAGTGCAAAGCCTCTTTTCCTCCAGGCTGCTGCCTGTGTGTCCGCAGCTGTCTGTACCAAAGAGTAGCAGCAAAATCTGGGTACCAAAACATCCCCAGAAGTACACTGCACAACACACTGACTAGCAAAAAGCCAAAAAAACAAAAAAAAAAAAAACAGACTACTGGACGTGAAACAGTCTTAGTCGACTGTGGGGTCTTCAACTGACAATTTGAATCACTGACTTTCTGGGGCCAGCCCTAAGAAAAAACGTGGGCTGTACAGTCCGCAAAGACTTGGACATAAAAAATTAAGGGGTTCTATGCAAAATTCAGAGTGTAGGAGTTGTCTGCACATGGTTCTCAACATGGAGGTGGCTAAGCCAGCAGCTAGCAGCTAATGAGGCTAACTCCATAAACAGCGCTAAACCATGATAAAACCTGCTTCACATTTGGGTGAAGAATTACATAAAAATCAAATGTTTTGGCCCATGCTTCAGTCAGGGTGACGATGGAGAAATGAGCATCAGATGTCAAAGAGAACTGTAGATGGAGGCTTTTTAACTTGATTTGAGAGTAATTTTATTTACAGCAGTTTGATTAGAAGTACTCTTTGGTTGAATGCAGAGACAACAAATAAAAATGAAAAATGAAAAAGATTGAATAATATGACTTTGAGCAGCTCTGTGTTGCAGCTCTGTGCACCAGGCTCTCTGTCCATTCCTGTTCCCATGAGAATGATCTCTAGTTGGGGCAGAAGCCACTCGCTGTGTGACCCCTCTGCTCTCCCCCAAAGGACTAGTTGGCTAACATTAAGTGAGAGATCCTGCCAAAATGAAGATGTATGCCTGTAGCACAGCAGTAACAGTAGACTCATGTCAGGGCGGGCTCAAAATAAGACTGTATCATGTCAAAATAAATAAGGAGGACGATCAGAGCAGCTTTTTATCTTTGTGTCTTCTTTGACCAGCAGAGGATGGTGCAGTGACGTATCTTCTCTACTGAAGCCTCATGTTGCTATTTGTGTCTGTATTTCATTTTACTGTTTTAAGTTGAAATGTCAATTCAAATACATTCAAGTTGTTTTATCTTCTTGCACAAATCTGTAAGTGTGTCTCTTATCGCTCTGCTTTTATCAAAGAATTTTATCTGTATTTGTATCACTCAGCTCCTGCAGAACAGTTTATCGCTGTGAAAATAAACTCAATAATTGACAACTCACATTGCCCCCCCCTCCACATGTAGAGCTTGTGTTTCAGCCTGGGACCAAGCCATTTGTCTGGAACTAATCTTTGTATGTATTTCCATGTAGAGTGAAGAGCAGCAGGACAGATGAGACGGTACATCCAGAGACAGGGAGATTTTAAACCAAACGCACGTGGACTACGTGGTTTGCCTCAGCCGCTTGATCTCCCATTATGCCCCAGAGCATGGCTGTGTTTAGAGGACAGAGTGAAAGCTCCAGCTTCCAGTTGCTGACTCAGTATAAATGACCATACAAGGCATCAGGATTTACTTCAGAACTGAGAGATCAGTAAGGAAAGAAGATTACAGCAGCTACTAGACCCTGTTTAGTTCTCTTTCTTCTGTCTGTCCATTTCTTTCTGTCTTTCCTCTGCCTGTCAACAGATTTGTTTCTTTCTCTGCCCTCTCTTTCTCATTGTTTGTCCACTCTCATAATCTTCCCCCTTTTCTGTTTCTGGCTACTTCTCATTCCTTCTTCCCTGCTTTCTTTTCCTCTCAGCCTACAAATAGAGAGGGCACTCTAATAGACCTCCCTCAGCTCTCCTGTCCCTCTACTCCTCCCTCTCCTCCTCCTCCTCCTCCCCCTCTTCCCTCCCTCACTCATTCCTCCTTTTCTCAGCCAGCCCCAGATAAGAAGGGGGCAGAAGTATTTCTCTTTGGCCACTTCTTAAACTGGAGCCACACAGAGAAGGATGTTTTCACCTTCATCTTTTTCATTCTACAAGTCGGTTTGGACATTCTCTGTTCCCAGTCCATAACTTGTCCACAACCTCTATTTCCATCTCTTTCTTCCCACTCAGCTTTCTCTCCATTGATATCTTTTTCCTGAGCTGCTCTGGACCTTCACCTGGCACGTTACGGACGGGAGAGAGTATCAAGAAAATTGTAAAAGACCTGCTCAGTGCCAAGCCAGTGGACAGATCCTGAAAAATCTTCAACAAGACAAACCTGACAGCAGAGAACAAAATTAAGACCCAAGAACATAAGGAGGAGGAAAGGAGATGGACCCATGTACAGTATTTATCAACTCATCTGACGTGAATTGTCACTGCAAGTGAGGAGGGAGACAACCGGACAGGTGTTGCTTTTTGTTTCTGCATTTTAAAAAAAGTCTGATCCATAAAAGAAGTTTTCTCTGAAAGTTCAACAAAGCAAATCAAGCTAAAGAGACTGAGGGTGCAGAGTCAGACCTCATGGTTTGAGTGGTGGGTGCAGAGACATCCTGCACACAGATGTTTTTATAAAGTGAATTGGGGTCAAAGCGTGAACGAGCTTTTCTTGACCCTCTTCGCTCTGAAAGAAAACACTTCAGTATAGTGGAACAGAGCGTCATGAAAGACTCAAATCTCAGCTGGGGGTTGATGGTGCTTCTGCTGCTTTGGATCTTGTCAGTTGTCGCTGATGCAGCCGGTGCTGTGAGCACAGAACGAGGAGGAGCTGGAAGAAGACGAGGCAGTGGCGGTGGCGGTGGAGGAGGAGGTGCGGAGAAGAGAAGGAAGTTCCACCGCATCCAACATGGCCAGTGCAGCTACACCTTCATCCTGCCGGAGCTGGATGGATGCCAGAGTGGAGGATTGCCATCACAGACCGAACACTATGGCGTCTCTCGCGGCGGGGCGAGTGTCGTGCAGAGAGACTCGCCGCCAATCGACGGTGAATGGTCAGCTCAGAAACTGCAGCACCTGGAAAGCACAATGGAGAACAACACGCAGTGGTTGCAGAAGGTAAGAGACAAACTGCCTTCCTCTGTTTCTCCTCTTGTTGAGAGATGTTTTACACACATCAATAGAACATAACTAGTGCAGAAAAAGGTCTTGGACAGTTAGAGGAAAAAACGTGCCCTGTCTACTGAACATTGCATCTTTCTGGGGGACAGATGACAGACTTTATGAATGTTTTTGTTGTACTTCTCACTAAGAGCCTTCTCTCAGACCAAAAAGATAGTCTTTAGAAAATGTAGCTGTGATACAGCTTCTTGACAACGGGTGCCTCAGTTGATACGGTGAATCTGAACCATCACACTCCAATGAGAGGCTGAACACAAGAGAATACCAGAGTGTATTGGAACATTGATGTGAGAAACATTTTGATGAACACTGCGTCCGGGACTGTTTAATCCCTGGAAAGACCTGGAGAGACATACAAAAACAACAGAAATGTCATTTGCTTCAGCAGCTGTGTGTGTGTGTGTGTGTGTGTGTGTGTGTGTGTGTTGTTAGATTGCAACAGGCTCGATTTTCTTGCTTGGTGATCTGCAGGACAGAGATCAAAGATTCGGTTTATAACTGTGGATGAGTGGCAGCTGATTTTAATCAGGAGAAAAGCAGTGAGTGCCTTCCCTCCTGTTGTCCTAACAAACTGATTTCTCCATCTGTGGTTTCGATAGAGATGTGACTGCACAGTGTGTAATAAGAGATAGTGTGTAACCTCGTTCTCTCATTACCTTGCATCTATCTTGCTTGAAAATTCTTATTTTAAACCAATATCTGATGGAGGTCTGACAGTTTGTAACTGATAGTGAGTTGGATGCATCTTGTTTGAGACTCTTTCCGTGCCCACAACTACCTTTTTCAAAAATGATGTCTGATTCTTAAATATTTTTACCGTCATTCTCTAATTTGTAATTCCCTCTGCACTGTACACCCTGTCACTGTGAATTTCACTGTCACAGCTGTGCGTCACATGGTATCACCTGCCACTGGGAGGAAGTAACATAAGGGAGATTTATGGTTATGGTATAATTCTGCTGTTAAGTTGGGCATTTTAACATGGACATCTCTGAGCCAGCCTCAAGTGGCCATTTTATGAACTGCAGTTTTTGGCACTTCCGCATAGGCTTTTATTTTTTAGCCTTGAAGGTTGCTGCTTGGACAAAACCATCTGTTGTTGGGCACTCAGTGGTCTTTGTTTATGATTTCAAACTGAATAAACACCAATCATATGAGAGACACGCTATTATTGTGCAGCAGTGGTGATCAAGGTACAATGAGGACTAGTGGAGTAGTCTATGGACCACACCGTGTCTTTCTGGGTTTTACAGTTGTTGCAGTTCCTCTGTCATCTCCTCATACTTAAACATTCAGTCATATTCCTGCTGATGTGCACATTGAAGTGGTTTGAGAGCAGCAGGTGATGTTGATCCATGAAATGAGATTAGTGAAAGAAAGCATTTTTGAAAGGAATGCGTGTGCGGGGAGTCCTCATTCATCATCATTAGAATCATTTAAATGTCTCAGCTGCCGCAGCGTGAATAATGCTTCTGTTTCAGAAGTCAGAGTCTGTATGAATCATAATTCTTACCAAAGGAATGCTGAGTTAACAGTTGATTTATTTAGTTTTCTAAATGTTGGGTGTCTACATTATGGTCAGGAAGTTGACACACACTGTAGATGGTGTTTACAAAAGAAAGAAATGCAGCTTCAAGCTGGGTGGTATCCCGAAAATCTGAGAAATAGGCAAATGTGTTAAAGGGGAACATGGCCATTTTTAAAACATAGATATTATTCTGGAAGCTATATAAGGTGATGGAAAAGTACTGCAACCTGCATGTACAGGCATATTGTGAGGGTGCACTAGGAAATGTTGATAAAGTTGAAAAATGCTGTCACTTCTTGAATTTATTTTGCATTAACTATAAACACCATAAGACAGGGAGATTTTAGTATACTTTTCTGATTTCTTCTGTCTTTCAGCAGTTATTGTTCCTGCAAGGGCTGCCTGGTGCAATGGAGAAATCCATGATAGGTTAGGATTTCAGCGCATGTTGTGACTATCATTCCAAACACAGGAGTATCACAGCTAGCAACAGGCACAGCATATTATGTTTGCTAGCTAGCTAGTTAGACAGTTAAATAATAACTATATGTACAGTGACTATGGTCAAGTGGGCCGTCATTTACGAAAACTCAGCCCCCGCTTAGATTTTGATGCTTGTGTATTCATGGGGTTACAGTACATGTGCAAATTTTGATTTTGTGCTCCTTTTTGTATGAAAAAAAACAGTATAGTACAATAACTTTGAATCTTATTATAATTTAAAAAAATCAAAATCCAAGTGGCAGCTGGCGGCAGCTTTTCGCAAACAATGGCTCACTTAATCATAGTTACTGTATTTATGGAATTAGCTGTAGCTATCATTATTAATTTTGGGGCATTTTGCCTTGAATTGATTGTACAGCTGAAGATGGACGGGAAAGGAGGGAAAGAGAGGGGGGATGGCACGAAGTATAGGGCCACGGGACGGAATCGAATGACAGCTTGTGTACTTAGATTGCAAATGTTGCTGAAATTCTATAATCCATTCATATGGCCACTAGCAGGCGGTTACTGTTTACTGTGATGACACTACTACCCAGTGGTTTCCCAGTGTGCCCTCAGAATATTCGTGTACATGAGAAGGTTGCAGTTTTTTATCCTTATTGCCTCCAGAATAATATCATTGTTCTAAAAATGGACACTTTACTCCTCTATGCCCCTTTTAGTGGTGCTAAAAGTTGCAGGGACTATGAAACCAGAGGAGCAAATATCAGTAACCATTCTAGGAAATAAAAGTCCCTTTTGCATATTGATGTTCGGGTTTCTAGCACATCTAAAGAACTGTGAAGATGGTGTTGCTAGCTTGTTTGCACTATTGTCTCTTTCTCTTGCCCTCTCGCTCTTTTTTAAAGTCAGGAAGCCAACAACTATTCTCAGCTTTGTTTTTAACGTTAACGAATAACAAGAAAAGGCAGACCCTTATCCTGATATCAATATTAGAGTAAACTCTTATTCTATAAATGAGGCGGTACACAAGTTGTAGCTACTGCATCTTTGCCCAATCAGTCAGCAGTGGTCAGGGCTACCACAGTCTCAGGTTTGGTTCTTCAGTTCCTCAAAAGGTTCTCGGTCCCCAGAGAAAGTTCTTGTGATAGAAACACACTCTTAGTTTCTTTAACTGAACAAACCAGGACATTTGATGGCATCACCTTTGGTTTGGAGCATTTTTCTTTACTATTTTCTGAAATCTTATCGACCAAATGATTGATGGATTGAGAAAAAATCAGCAGGTTAATCGGAAATCAAAACATTTATTTGCAGACTCGGTGAGAAATTGTCTCTTCATTCACACCGTAAGCAAAAGAAGTTGCTCACTGTGGTTATAAAGATAAAGTCAGTCTATTCTTTTGAATTATATCTATGTATTTTTATCATTTTTGGCCAACTTAAATGCTGCATACAGGATCAGACACTGAATCTCTGCAATTTAAAGAAATAACAAACTGTGCTTGGATCAGATCTCCTTGTCCTAAGAGTTTGACACATCAGCTCAGCTGGTGATCAATATGTTAAATGGGTTTAGATACATTCCAGTATGAGATTATTTCTGCTGTCCACCAAAGTTGATTTCTTTCTCCTGATCTGCTTTGTGAGTGTCTGAAGGAGAGATCAAACTTTACCAGACAGATTTTAATCTGCAGAGATTCAAAGTGGTGCTTCACTGGATTAAACTAGTGTTTTTAACAAGCTGTGTGTGTGTCTGTGTGTAAATGTGTTTACCACCCACACTGTTAAACCTCAGAGGAGACATGGGTCAAGTCTAGAACTGAGGTCTGCAGCACTCCGATAGGAGACAGAGGTGTGACCTTTCACCCTCAGGCTTCAGACGTCAGTTTGAAATCGCTCTTTCACTCACTCACATTTGTTATCATTGTCTCATTTAGGTTTAATTCAATTCAGATAAAAGATAACTACGTCTCCTCTCACTTTCTCTGTCCCTCCTTTTCTCTTTGTTCTTCTTAATGTATTTTATCACCCTTTTTCGTTTTCTGTATTAAGTAGATAACATTTAACTGAGATTAAAATAAAGATATCTTAGCAAATATTGTAGCATAAAAATATGATTGCATTACAAACAATGTTAACAGGCCATAAACTGCACAGAAGAGCATAAAGAATCAGTTTTTATGAATAGCTATTAATTAGGCTTTTATATGCATTATGTTTGTGATAGAGCTACAGCTAATGATTTATTTTATTATCAGTTAAGCTGCTGATTATTTTCTTGATTAACCTAAATGTTGGGTCTTTAAAAAGAAATTTAGAACATTAAAAAGGTGAAAATGGCTTTCCAGGGCCTTAAGTGACTTATTCAAATTGATTGTTTTGTCAGTTTGATAGTCCAAAACCTACAAATATTTAGTGCACTATAATGTAAGACAAGTAAACTCTCACATCTGTGAAGCTGGAACCAGAGAATGTTGGATTTTTTTGCTTAAAAAATTAACTAAAAGGATTTATTGATTATCAAATGTTGATTTAATTTGTGTAGATTAATGTAGATTAATTCACTGACTAATCTTTCAGCTCTTATTTCTGACAAGCCAATGCTTCTTGTATACACAGGCTTCTCTGTACTTAACTTCTCTTTTTTGTGTGGACTGCACAGCAAAAGTTCTGATATTATAAAAGAGAAGCAGAATTGCACAAAGCAAAGTTTTTCTATAGAACCACAGCTGTCTCGTGTCTACAGTCTGGCTTCAGAAAAGTATGTCATTCCCCAACCCCCTAAACTTAGACACAGTAGATTCACTCCATTTGTTCAAATTCTTCTCAATATTTGCGTTTCTCATGCGGTCACTGGTGGCAAATGTTCTCTTTCAGAGCTCAGGAAGTCACAAATCAGATCTTAGAGCCGGTGTCTTTGACTTTGGTCAAACTGCAGGACAGATGATGGTGTAGCTACTAG